TCCAGTAATATTTCTGTCATGTCACATGACCTTTCGCATGCTTTAAGATTTAAGCAAGATGGTCGAAAATATTTTGCCACGCAAATTTCTGTACAACATAATTAAAGCATCGTTGATTTCTTCTGAAAATTTTCATTGCGAAGTTAAACCAATATAAGCAATTGTGAAGGTTTCACTACAGGGTTGAAAGAATTTGAAATAAATACAAACATGTTGAATACTCCGCAAAAATATCCATGTGAAATAGTACTTAATAAGCGGTAAATAAGACGAAGAAAGAAATATATGATAAACACCTGAGCCCAAATCTATCTTTACATAAAATTATGCATATGAGAAAAATATTTACACCAAAATATATATGTAAATAGAAGTCAGGGACTTTTTATTGCAGACTGTATGAAAAAGATGTTCTATAATAATAGCCAATGCAGAATTTTATTCAAAGTGAACTTTAATAATTTGCATTCGTATACATTTAGTGTGTTAAATTTCACATTTAATAACTGCTCCACTCTTAAACGTACTGTCTACACAAAGAAATACTCATCAAACAGAATGAATTTATCGTTAATTCACAACGAATATATACAGTTTGCGATTTATTCATATTAACTTTTAGTGTTAACAATAGGATATAATCAGATCCTACACAATATGATCTGATCTTACACTTTAAAAGTCAAAAGAATACCATCACCTGAAATAAGAAAACACTAGATTCATCGTAACACTTTCCAATCCTTCTCAGCTCAAGTTAAAAAATGTACTATACTTGAATTCTCTTAATCCACAGGTGGTTAGCAAATGGATAATACTTCGAGGCTAACTGTAGCTTGAGTCCTTTTCGATGTAAAGAGAGATAATATACCGTGAGAACATCAATCCAAATATTAATGCGTGATAAAATTCGCGAAAGTGAAATGTCAGCGATTAATTAAACTTATAAAACGAAAGCACTACGAGATTTTCTACTATTACACTCTACATTTATAACTTCGAAACAAATGCAAATTAAAACGTAAACAACGTACGCTCATATGCACGAAGATTTAGCGTCACAAAAGCAATAGAATATCATTGGTCCATTTTCGAAACCCCTCCCTCAGTGGCTACGCTGATGTGCACTTGTGAAATATGCTAACGGTAGCACATTCGACGTGTATTCCAGAGGTTCGAACTTGAATCCCGGAGAGGCATTGCATATTTGTCATGTCTTCCGCTTCAAAAAATAGCCTAATAGGCTGTATAAACCAAAAGGATTTTTAAAGGCTTTTTCACCCTCTCGCTGAGTCCGTAGTGCTGTTTCACTCACTCATACTAGCTTTATGGTTGAGCACCATCTTCTTTGCATTTGCGCCATATACAATTCAACATCAAAATTTAAAAAATTTTAATAGCAGCATATATTTAGAATTTCCGATGCAGTGTTAGGTGTGGCATAGAATTTCTATTTTTTCAGTCTTGTCTCAGTTCAGCATATCAATGTTCAGGTTTCTTAGTAAGATGGCTTGCAGAACATTTTTGTCTGTTGTTTTAAACACTGTAAATGATTTCTTTATACATTTTTATACTTTTGTATTTACTTTTTTGTGTGTTTTTTTTTTTTCCTTTGTGTATGATTTCATTGTATTATTGAAAACTGATGTTATTACTTACAATTTTGCCTTTTTTACTTACGATTTGTAAGCCTCCTGTGATATTTTGTGGTGCACGAGGATTTTTTTTTTTCCTTAAAAAAAAAAAAAAAAACCGGGAAAATCATAAAATATTTAATAACAGCGTGTATTTAGAATTTCCGACAGACAGTTTCGCGCGCTGGAGATAAAAATGCTTTTTTTATTCTTATAAGTGTTACCACCGCTCGCTTCCAAATTGCTGAGTTTGTTAATAAAAAATTCTTTTAAGTTTTATAAAACATGAAATATAAAACCGAAATTCATAATACTAGCTTCCAGGTACACATTGTTCGGGTGGGTTTCAATGTCGTTGAAAATGTAATAATTCTAGGTACCGTTGTTTTTTCACAATGCAGGGAACATACATACATGCAGATTCTCCATTATTTATTTATTTTTTTTAAGATAATACAGGGCGAGACTACTTGGTGGCAACAATTTGAAACATGATACGGCGTTTATAGTGGACGACACACAATCCCCTTTCGAGATTAATAGCCCATTTGGGCTAAACTTTCTTTTGTGTTCAAAAAATCTGCTATGACCACCACATGACTTCCTTGTACGGCCAATAAAATTATGCGCATTTTTTGTTGCATTTCATTTAAACTTATTTCTTCAAATTTCAATAGAGATATCTTTCTCGTTCAATTAATTAAGTTCTCACTTCTCGGCAAGGAAAAACACATAAAACCTCAAAATGTCTTTATTAAAAATTGAAAAATATAGAAAAACATAAAACAGCAAAAACAATTAAAACAATAAAGAAAAAACAAATTTTAGAATTTCTACGCAAAAAAAAAAAAAAAAAAAAAAAAAAAAAAAAAAAGGCAAATCGGCCAGCGGGGAAGAAGCCATTTCAGAGTACAAAACGGAAAGTTTACTTTTGGTATCGATTGGCAAAAAGACACTCAATGTGCAGAAACTGACTTAATTCACTATTCTGCTAAGTTTCAAATGTAAACAAATATGGCTGCTAAGGCTTAGTCGCACTTGAACAACTATTAAATTATTCATAATTCTACAACTATTGATGTAGATTAATTAAAGGCAAAAAAACCTTAACCGGAACATAAGAACAGTTTAATACAATCATTTTTAAAGCAAAAAATGCACAGTTCACCAACCTATAAAGATAAAAAAAAGTGAGCTCACGGAGCCAAGTAACAGAGTGGGTGATATATATTATATACTTTTCGTACAGCCGAAGGCAACAAAAAGGGAGGTGCACAACTACATGTTATAGCAGTCCTATATTCAAAATTTTAACGTTATGAGGCTACACGTTTTTGAGTTATGCGCGATACCTACATACGTCCGTACAGACGCCACGGAAAAAATCTCTTCTCAATCCATTTTGCAATCCATTTAGTTTCCCTAAAGAGAGTCCATTTTTATGTCTTTTGCATACCTACAAACATCGTTAAATTGCATTCGATAGCAACGAAATGTACATTTTTCATGAAATTATGATACCCGAAAATTTTCGCGATTACAGTACTTCCTTTACTTCATGTAAGGAAGTAAAAAAAACACTATGGATTTTGAACCGGACACAGAATAGAATTCGAAAAAAATTATGTACCTATATAAAGTGTAAACTTAGACGAAAGCGCAATCATAGGCTGGAGTAAGTTTCTTAATTGCCTAATTTTACACTTAAGAGGTATCATTATTTGGAGTGAAACCTTGATATTCATTTTTTCCTCCCAAAGTCATATTTCGTGCCGTATATCCTAAGTTGTCCTTTGTCTTTCTCCAGCTCATTTGTGCTCTTATTCATTATCTTTACACCTCTTATCGCTAAGTTGCGTTATCAAGGGCAGCTGTGTCCCTTTAGTGCATTTTGTAACTGAAGGGAATGTCATCTGAAGGCAAGTCGATCATTTATTGCATATTTAAGCTCAACTCGAATATATAATAATTGTTACATAACAAACAATCTTGAGAGACTAAAACGGTTCCTGCGCAAGTTACGTTTTCACTTGCTACCTGCATATCTCTCAGCTGAGTTATGTCTATAAGAGTTTTTTTGGTTTATCTTTCCTAGCGATAATTGTTAATGTAAGAATATTCACTAGTGTGTGAAAACGTACAGCATAAATACAGAAGGAATTAAAAACATGCAAAATAAAAGTTCAAAAAGCATTAAAATACACACACACACATATATATTTACGACTATTTAGAACACCTTGATTTTACGCAATGAAAATTTGCAGGAATTTGTTTTTCATTTCATCATGCTGTCTTAAATTTCTGATATTACACAATGTATTTCATGAATTAATGTAAATTGCATATTTTTAGCTTTTCACTTGTCTCTCCAGCTAATCAATTCGTAATGTTCTTTTAATGTATTTTATGAATTAATATAAATTAACTGCATTTTCCTTACGTCTCTCGAACAGAGAGAACTGTGTGGTCATCGGCGCCTTTCTTGTGATAGTAGTTATATTAAAGTCATTCACATTTTCACTCCATTTATCCCTAAGTTTACGTAAATGAATGTCTAATATTCTTTTTATTTGGACTAAATCAAAATGTTTTGCTTCTTAATATTTATATACAACAAAACATATATTACACCTTTCCTCTGAGCAATAAAAATCCAGAGGGAAAAAAAAAATAATAATCTGAAAGCTTTCTGATTTTTATACTACCCTCCAAGGGGGCGTTTTTTTGATGTTTTGTGTATCAGCTTTATTTATTAAATATCGTATTCTTCGCACTTAAATCATAAAATTCAGTTCAAAAGCAATATCACAAAATATTTTAAAAAGAGCATTTCTTTAGACTTTCCGATGCACAGTCTCGGCGCTGGAGGTAAAAATGTTTTTTTTTTTTTTTTTCTTTTCCCCGTACAGTCTTGCCATTGCTCGCTTTGAAATCGTTGAGTTTCTTAATCAAAAATTCTTTAAAGTTTCACAAAATATGAAATAAATAATGAAACAAATTCTAAGTTTGGGCTTCCAGATATCCATGTTCGAGTGGAGGCCTACGTTATTCAGAATTTGATGTCTTTAAGTACCGTTGTTTTTTCACAGTGCGAGAAACAAACATACATTCATGCAGATTCGTCATTATTTAATTTCTTTAATATAATGCATGGCTTTAATATTTGGTGGCAACAATCTGAAAAGTGAAACGCCGTTTCTAGTAAAACAACGCAAAATGCCGAAACGAAATTAAAGCCCTTCTGGGGCAATCACCCCTTTGGGCTAATAAATGAAGGCGATCGCACTTGAGATAATAAAATGAGGAAAAAATAAAAAATACCAAACAATGAGATATTTTTAGAAAAACCGCAATTAAACTTACCGCTTATACCTGCGCCTACTACCACTACCTGGACGTCCATGTTGGGAGTAGAGAATAGGGAGTTTCCTGCTTCTCTTTCTTTATGCGTTCATTCCTACTTGAAGTTGTGTTAACCTGGAATTCCCCGCCTACCAGTGACATTCATCTCTGTTTCGCATTTCTCTTGAGGTTCGCTTTTTTATCAATAGATAATCTGCTTCTTTCTTTGATTTATTTGCTCTGCCCTTGAAAAGTGACAAGCATATTAGAAATCTCACTGATTTCTTCCTCTACATAATCTTTATAGATTTCCATTATATGGCTCTCTATTTGTAACGAAGATATAATTTTATTTTAAATGAATTAAAAAATGTATTGCTCAGGAATGCGCAGGAAATTATTTATTATAAAACTTAAATATTCATTCCTCTTTTCACCCGCTACGAAAGTTTTATCTCATGAACTATTAGATTTTAAAACTGATGTTAAGCAAGAAACATATTTTAAGGAAAATTATTTTTCTTTCCTATTGATCTCATATAATCTAAGTACGAGGCGTCTCAAGTCAGTCCGTGTTTTTAAATACGAATAAATTCTCAATTAATTGACCTATTATGTTCAAAATGGAATTGTTACACCCTTGAATTACACGTTACTTGAACCTAGTGAATAGCGAACCGCAAGTTTTCTTTTTATTGCCATAATTTCAGACTTCTCCTAAACATTCAAGATTTTCGACACATTTCCCTAGATGAGATGGAAGAGTCTCAGTTGCCGATTGCAAAATACTTTCCGGATCCTTGTGTAGCGAGTTGGACATTGCTTCCCCAACATACCGAAGATGCTACTTTTTCCAGTCTATTTCGTGCTTTACTCATCTTCATAGGAAAAAAATAACAAAAATTCAAATCTGGACTGTGAGAGAATATTCATACGCGTCATATTTGTCTCCCCGTGAGTGTGGATGATGTAACCAATCAATCATGAACGTGATTTTCAATGCTGTGATTCCCAATTCTGCAAATGATGTTGGGCAATGGCTGCATAGCAATTTCCCAAGTCCAAGAACAAATGTGACTTCCTAAACTTCTTCTTTGAGAGCGAGATTCTATTGAAAACTCTGCGCAATAGAAAAGTTGAGAGCAACAATCTCCTATATTTATATGATATTAAACTTTATTTAGTCATCAATAGCCACCGTAGCATCATTTCCAACAAAATACCTTAAGAATGCTGTAGCTTATGCGAAGTTTTCGAATTAAAGCCTGAGAGAATGGAGTACAAAACAATATTTTTTCCTGTAAAATAATTTAATAAATATAATACATGAAGTTTAATCATAGCAACAATTTAGTTGGCTTAGTAGCCTTTTGTTGTCACTTGATTTTGACTAACTTTTGGCCTCTGAGTCCAAAAAAAAAAAACCGCAATTTCTGTCTATCACGTCAACTACCTCCACTAAGCTCCACTACCGTCAACTAAGCTACAGGATACCAACTCTTTGTCTCCGCAGTCATGTCAAACATGCATTTATAAAAAATAAAGGGAAATCTTACCAAATATACTGTTTACAAAAAATTGTTTTATTTATGCAAAGGCTATATATAGTTACTCTAAGTTAAATATTTTTCATACAAATAGCACTTTTTTTACCAAACGGTAAATATACATGTGGAAGTAGATTCTTCGACTCCCTTTATTTTGCGTCTATCCAGCAAGGCGCGATGTCATCACAGCTTAGCGCAGCTTGCAGAGCGGCAGACGACCGATGGAAGTGCTGAGAACAAGACATGTTCCACACGAGAGGCGGATAGCTTCGAGATGCGGAAAGCAAGCAGACGGCTTGCGTATCCTCTAAGAGTTATTAGAACAAGACGTGTTTCTTTAAAATCTCCTGTAGCCTAGCTGAAATGCTCACATCGAGCTAGCCATATGAGGGCAGACGTGTCTTTTGAATGTATTTATTGAGGACTAATAGTGTGTGAGTCATCACTACAGGAATCGAATCCTGTTTGGACTTACGTTAGTTGTGAGATTACCTGTAACACTCACTGTTCACTTAATTGATCTTTTCATTCATTTTATTTTATATTAGTAAAATAAAATAGTTATGTTTAAGTCGTGCTCTACTGTGTTCTTATTGGAGGTAATCTCACATACATTTTAAGGGAAACATTTTTCTCTTATGGCTTTTTCTGGAGCTTATGGCTTTTCCCTTATGTCTTTCTCTGTGGACATTCTCGCTTAATGCTCCAACAATAATCAGCCATTACATATACATCCCATGTACACTGCTCAAAAAAAAAAAAAAAAAAAAAAAAAAAGAGGGACAGTCCTATATCTTCCGATCTACTGGCCGATTGACAAATTCAAATTGCGTCTTCATTCCTTCATGTCTCGAAAGCGCGACTTAGGATATATATTAGATTTAATATAGTACTATTCTAACATAGGTATTTTGACACAAAATCGGACTTTTCTGAAATAACATACCAATTTTTTTACATATTTCGATTCTACGACTCAAATTACGCCTAAATATGAAATTTTTGCAAAATTTGGAGCGAAATTTACGGAGAAATTCACAAATTTATGTTGGCACTTTTTTGTCAGTTTGCGCCAAGAATACTTCACTTGGCGAACTTCTTAATATATGGCAACCTAGTTTCCTTTCCCGTGAGAGGAAAAAAGGTCACTATCGTTCCTTTTTTCCAAATAATATTCTTTATATTATATTTTTAATTATAAAATATATTTTAAGTAATTTTTTTTTTTTTCGAATTTCATTTTAATTGTTTAAGTTGCACGTTTTTTTTTTTTTTTTTTTTTTTTTCGAATAACTGTTTTAAAAATTTCTATTTACCTATTCGAACTGCGTAAATAAAGGTGAAGCGTTTATTTTATTTTTTTTTTTTTCAAATAGTTTTCTTTATATATATATTTCGTCATAGTTATTATTTTAGGTAATTTTTAAATTTTTATACTTTTATTTTAATTGTTTGTGTTGCATGTCTCTTCAGAGATGATTGTTTTAAAAAATTTTCTATTTATTCCTTCGAACTGAGCATTTTAAATATATTTATTAATATCAATTTTCCAGAATTTGATTTTATTTATTGAACTGCGTTTCTTTCGGAAGAATACTTTGAACCCAGACTACGATGAGTTTGAAAACTGCATACTATATTAAAAGAGAAAATACTCTAGGTACAGTTTTACACGCCTTTCAATGTTCCGTTCAGAAAGATATATATAAATAAGAGAGATGTATAACCGACATTTTTAACTTAGGATGACTTGCATACACTGCTTTAAACAGTTTTATCATTGTGCCCATTGCTTTACACAGTTTTATCCTACATTTGGTTTCTTAAAAGTTATTCATATTTTAGTCAAATATTTATTTTTGAAATCGCAAGAATCAAATATCATAACATTGAAAAGTTTAAAAATTAAAAACAAATACTAAATTTACGAAAAAATTTATTTTTCTTCTCTTTTTCTTTAAGCATTCTGAAAGTATATTAAAAAAGTAATCCAACTTTTCGAAACATTTTGGTATTTCTGACAATCATTTTAAATAAAGTTATCGCCTTCCATTTCATAAAGGCCCACAAACGGCCGAGCGGTAAAGACGCTGATCACAGGTAGTTCGGTCCGAGGTTCGAACCCCGCGAACAGGCTGGTTGCATGGGTGTTTTCGTGGTTTTCCCGATGTGTAACGTGTTTACGAGCCAGTTTCCCTTAGAAAGTCCTCCACGAAGGCATCCCTCTCTTTAGGCAGATAGCCCTCGTGTGCTTTGCCATAATTAAATAATCCATCCAATCCTTAATTAAATATAATTGATTGTAACTAACTTCTACTAGAACTGACGTTAAGAATTGAAGTGCAATAAATAACATCGTGTGCAATCTTGATTAATATAAAATTAAAAATATTTGCACAGAAAAATATTTGCATTCAGACAGAAAGTTTTTTGAAATATTTGCAATTACTTTATAAGAAGGATTTATTAATAACCGTAATAATTACTTGTTATATTACTGATGATTAGGAATCAGTTCTTGACAATTACATTCTAAATAGAATTTTAGAAAATAATTAGAATTTTAAATTAGAATAATTAAAATACGCTACGCACAAAAATAATTTTAGGATAAAAATGATTGATTTTTTATGTTTAAAACTTCTTGAATTCATTTAATAAATCGATCCTCGTTGTTAATTGAATTTAGAATGTTGGATGTCGTTTATATAATTATTCTTACTTGTCCACAGAATCTGCTGACTTATCCAGCGATTAAGTAGCTGCAGATCATTTCTACATAACCATTGAATTTCCATTAATTCATCTCTAGAGGGTTGTATATTTATATCATAATTTGACTTTTATAAAAATGATTATTCTAAATCTTATGTTTCTATAAAATATACTGTGGCTTTAAAAATATGGATGATAGTACCAGCCGCTCTTTCAGCCACTTCAAAACGCATCATTTTATTAGAAATAAATTGTGCAGTTAATGTCTAAAATTCAAATAAACATCAAACAACGAAAATTCTCAGTTTTAGACAATTCGATTTAAACGAAGTAAAGTAGCAGACGATAAAACGCCGAAGGTAAAAATTTACTCTTATTAAAAAAAAAAAAAAAAAAAAAAAAAAAAAAGAGAGAGAGATAGAGAGAAATTTAAAAAAAAAAAATATAAAAATTTATTTAAAAAAATAACTTTTCATATATATTAATAAATATTTATTACGCATCATTGAGGGAAAAAATGTCATATAATTAATTCTCCGTAAAATTTTACTTGAAATTTAAGGTTAAAATAGCTGTGGCAATACAGTGTAACAAAAATCCATAGACCACATTTGGCGTTATTATCGCTCAAAAAAAAGATGCCAAATTTCAAAACGCGAAAATATGTAAATTCGTGTATATCTTAGAAAATTTTGAATAAAAAAGTCTAATTTTTTTGCAGTTATGCTTAAAATAATACCTACTTTAAGATGATGTAAAAAATTTTATAGGTTATAATTCAAAATTTTTTCGAAAAATTTATAAAAATTATTTAAAAATATAAATTTAAAAAATAAAACAAAAAAATGGGTAAATTTTATTTGGAATGAACCTAAATTTTGAAATGTGAGAGAAAAAATCAA